CAGGAGAGATTATGTAAAGGTGCACATTTCCAATGATGAATGTCATTATATTGTATACCTAAAATGTACCAATAAAATTAATTTAAAAAAATAATTTCTCGAAGCTTGGAGACTACTTGTGGCTATATAAACAAATCTATATAAAATGAAGTTTGAAATTTTAAAAAAGCTGCATTTCTAACTGTATTAAAAATGTGTTCTGATGAGCCAAATTAAACTTTTATTCCTTATAAGTTAAAAAAAGTTTCTGGCATCAGTGAAAACTTTAGTCTAAAAGTAATTTTACTTTCCAAATTTAGGGTCTGTTTAACATTATTAGCAAATAAATAGGGATATCAGTAAAGAAAGTAAACATGTACTACTTGTAAATCAATTGTTCACATAAAGTATTCATTAATCACCTGGTTCATGTCCATGGAGGCTGCTGGCTTATGTACCAACATGTGTTTTTGAGATCCCAAAGATAAGGGAATTGAAGTAGTGTATTATTGTTCAGTACTAAATTAATTATTTTATTAAAGCTGAATGCCAGAAATGTTTTAAAATATAGGTGGATTGCCTTGCAATTAACACTATAATGGTTTCTGTACCTTTTAAATTACATTGCTCTTTAATAAGACTCTTGAAAACAGTGCTATTGCTACTATTTGTTTTAATTCATTAAGTTTATTGGTACATTATTAGGTATACAATATGATGACATTCATCATTGGGAATTTGTACCTTTACATGATATATCTTGGTTCTTATTTTTTCCCCATTCCCCTGCCCTCCCTTCAACCCCTCCACCCCTCCCTATTTACATAGACTTTGTTTTTGTTTTTTTCCTTTTCTCATATTTATTCCTTTTCCTTAACCCTCCTCTGCCCTTTCCCCTTTCCCTTTGGACCTTTTCTTCCGATTTCACACTATCTATTATACATTTTGATCCTCATTTACAATTTCAGTTTCTCACACCAGAGAAATTATTCAGTATTTACACATGTGTGTCCTATTTATTTCACTTAAGAATATGGCCTCAATGTGCATCCATTTAGCTATAAATGTCTCTAGTTTCTCATTCCTTGTGGCTGAGTACTACTCCATTTTTTTTTTTTTTTAAATATCTTCTTTATCCAGTCACCAGTTGATGGGCATCTGGGCTTTTTCCAAGTTTTAGGTATTATGAACTGTGCCACTATAAACCATAAGAACTTCATAAACACATGGAAATTGAACAACACACTCCTGAACAACCAATGGGTCACAGAGGAAATTAAAGTAGAGATTAGACAGTTTCTACAATTAAATGCCAATGCCAGTACAACATATAGGAATTTATGGGACACAATGAAAGCAGTCATACAAGGGAAATCCATAGCAGTGAATACTCATATTAGGAAAACAGAGAGAGCTCAAATAAATAACCTAATGCAGAACCTCAGAATCTTAAGTCTAGTTTGTAGCTGTTTACTTACCCCTCTGAATTCTCCTTCTTTTCCTAGATTTTGGCATGAAAGCTTTTCATTCATTTGTTAACTCTTCAATACAAAGGAAGAAAATAAGATAGCCATATATACATGCAAAGAATATTTGTGGGCAGCACTTTCAGAACTTCATATTCCTATGTGTGGCATAAACCCATGTCACAACCTAAGTTGATACCAGAGAAAGATACTGCAATTCACTGATCACTTGAACACTCAGGATATGGCTCTGGTCACATTAGGCAGAAGATAAAGAGGAGAATATCTTAAAAACATTGGGAATATTTTTTTCCTGAGTAATACAGAAATACTGCAATCTTTCATAGAGAAATGTAGTGACCTTACTTGAAGAAAATATAAAGAAATGTGTTTCTGGTACTAGAAGACCTAGTAATTATGGCTACCTTTCTCATTGAGCAAATATTCACAAAAAATAGCAACTAATAAAAATAATGCATTGCTTATATAAGCATAAATTTTGCCCTTCTGGCTGTCTTAAAATGATTATTTTCAAATTTCTAGGTACATTATTTTTCAAACTGCATAAAGAGTAAGAATCCCTTAAGTATTTGCTTATTTTCCTAGGATATTGTTTAAAATTTTTGGAGTGCTGGTTTGGTATTCATGAAGTTCCTCAGGTGTTCTTTATCATGAAAGTATCTCATTTCTCCATCAATTTTGAAAGATATTTCTGGAGGGTACATCAATCTGGGTTGGAGGTTGTTTTCTTTTAGGGCTTGAAATAATTCAGGCTCTTCTTTACTTGAAGGTTTATTTTTTAGAAGTCTGCTGTGATTCTGGTGGGCTTTCCTTTGTATGTGATTTGTTTCTTTTCTCTAACTGCTTGTAGAATTTTGTTCTTCTGTTGGTATGCAGCTCAGGGCCAGAGAAGGAACTGTATACAGAGTGGGCACTAAATAGATATTTGAAGTTACTGACAAACAGATTAGAGATACATTTATCGGGAATTATTCTAAGTGTAACCTTTCTGGAAGATAATATTTACTTTGTGAATATTTTTCTAAGATTCTCACCCTTTACTGAGTAACCCTCTGGGTGGCCAGGAAATGGCCACCATTAACATTGTAAACATGTAAACATTTACAATGTTTATGACTGTCCCATTTGTTTGGAGGACATTATCAAATGCAAAAGTACATTCTGACATACTGTCATTAGCTCATTGCAAAAATGCAGTGGTTAAACAGCCAATCTAATTGACTTACTAATTTTCTAGAACATGTGCCAAACAATGAATCTTAATATACTTTATGCACAAATAGTTTGTGCTGTAATAAAGCCACACTGTCACTCATATTTTAATAAAATTATTTGCCATGAACTGCAGTTAGGTAACTAATTATACATTAGAGAATTAAAAACATAAGAGCCAGCTAACTGAGATAATTGAGCAAGATGAGGTCATTTTTCCTCCAGTGCCAGATGGGTATCACAGGTGAGGACCTTAACACTATCTCTTCCATGTGATTCAGGAAGAAAGACATTATTGTTGACATTTAACTTTTAAATAAAATATTTTGTAGTAAAATCAGTATTATATAGTAAGTTATGTTTTTAAATGAAACATTGACTAGCATGCTATCATTTTGTGCAACAGCTAAGATAAAATTCTTACTCTAAAATAGAAAAGGATATAAAAATTTAACTCTGCATCTAAAGGAGAAGAGAATGAGTTTTTCTTAGCTAATAATTTTCTGTGGACTGTGTTGTTCTTTTTTTTTGGTACCGGGGATCGAACTTGGTCCTTGCACTTGCGCAGCAGGCAGTGAAACCACTGAGCTAAATCCCTGGCCCATGGACTGTGTTGTTCTAATGATGCATTTTGGTATGGAATTTACTGAATTATTCTCAACACTTTCACATTTGAGAAAACACTTTTTCAATGTGTTAAATCTTTTTGTGGGTCATCATGTGATTTTTAGTATTCACCTTCATGTATACTTGAATTTGTTAGCATACAGTGTTGTATATACTTGTCTAGAGAAGTCTCAGACTCAAAAACAGCCTCACTAGAGGCTCAGATGTATGAGCAGCATGTCTACAGAGAAAATGGTTTCACTTCAGCAAGTTTTTCCATTTGTGGATCTTAATGGTCTATGAAGACTGACAATTTGGTGATCCAAACTAATAATGAAAATTGACAATAGCAAACTTCAGAGATTAGTCTTTTCATAAATCGCTGTAATTGGCAGTAGGCAGAAATTGTCTGCATTATAGTTACCTGGAATTTGAAGAAGTGTAATCTGGTGCTGTAACTGAAGAGAAGGAGGAAGGAATTATACTTTTTAAGGTCTTTCTGTATGAGACACTGTCCTGTGATTTAAATATTAGTTTAGTTAATCCTTGTAATAAGAAAGTGTTATCATTTTCACTTTACAGATGATGATTCTGATGTTAAAAAAGATTAAGTAACTTTCTCAAGGTCACACAGTTGGTCGTGGGTCTAGAATTAAAATAAATGTCTGCCTGATTCATCCATCCATTTGAATATTCATTGAACAAGGAAGTATTGTGTGTCTGTTGCATTAGGTGAGGAAATATAGTAATGCACAAGAATCACATCATCCTCATTCTGAAGTTTCCAATCATCTAATCAGATAATTACAAAGATTATGTGCTTTCTACCACACAAAACTACTGACACATAGATTGTAGGTTATGTTCTTAATCTTATGAGAATAGTGGAAATTAAAAGATAAAAATCTATTAGGGAAAACCACACTCTGAAATGTGTACTTTACTATCTAGACCAAATCTATGAAATATTCCTGCCTAATAGAAACACTGAGGAACACTGGGCCTTGATTTTCCTTTATAAAAATATTATTATTGATAATGTTTATTATTAAATATAAAGCAATTAATACCTATGAAAAGTTATTATTTGCACTTATAAATCTCTTAACCATTTAAAAACACTTCAGTGTATGCTTTTACTTGCTCTTTCTAATAACCCTGGTCAAACTTAATTCTTTTGGATCCTGGTTCTAATTCTTTCAGATCCTTGGTTCTTGGTGCTGATAGAAAACTGTGGTTTGATTGGTTGGTTCGTTGGTTGGTTGGTTTTTAAAGACAGAGTCTTGCTATGTAGTCCAGACCAGTATTGAATTTGCCACGTAGCCCATGTTGGCCTCAAACTCATGATCCTTATTACCTCAGCCTCCCAAGTGCTAGGATTACAGGTGTGTGCCACCACACCTGGCTCTTGTTTTTATAATTTAAAAAATTAATAAACATTTATTGAGCCGCTGCTATATTCAGTGCATTCTGCCAAACACTGTAGATAAATAAAATGATTTTTAAAATTCAGTCCTGTTCTTAAAGTAGTTTGATAGAACTGATGTAGATGGGTAACATAGGAAAATGAGTCTTAGAATGTTTTGGATGGGGTTGGGAAATGCTATACCTGAGCTAAACATGGAACTCACCAGACTCAAGAATCCATTTGACCCATAATGTTCTAATCTTGTGGTTAATCTTAGATCTGGGGATAAGGAAGCAGTCAGAATAGAAAGGGCAATTTTATTTTTGTTTCGCTTTGGGTTTTTTTTTTTTCAGTACTAGGGATTGACCTCAGAGCCTTGTACATGCTAGGCAAGCACTGTACCACTGAGCTACATCCCCAGCGTACTTTAAGATTATTTTATTTTTTGAAAAAGGTTCTGGCTAAATTGCCTCGGCTGGCCTCAAACTTGCAATCTTCCTTCCTCAATCTCTCAGGTAGCTGGGATTTACAGGTATGTACCACCTCACCCAGTGAAAAGCTAGTTTTAAATTAAGTTCCAGTGGTGTCTAATCTAGAGTAAACACAAGTAGTGGAGCAAATATGGAATTTATTCAGTTTATCTGTTTCTTTTTAAAAACAGATATATTTCTTAATAGCTAACTGGAACAATGGAAAGCATGGGGAAAGCAAATAAAAAGGATATACAAAATGGACCATCAAAAGAATTCAAACTACCTGCCAGTGAAGCACTTCTAGACTATCAGTAAGTTTGTACTCTGAAAGCTACAATTTGCCTTATGTAATTGTTAAGACGTATGTAACTACAAATGAAAATGATGCCCCCAACAACTGGCAAGAGAATAAAGATGGTAGGAGACATAATTACACTGTTGTGCTATGTGCATATTTTCAAAGGTTTCTGAAGCTTTGACTATAACTGTGTAAATAATATCTCTGGAGCAGCATTCACTGATGTGCCCTTGGCACACTCCATTATGTTAATGGCCACTCAATCCCACATACATACAGCTTGCTGGCTTCCTCTTAAATTCTATATGTAAGGGTTAAAATATGTTCAGAGAAGAGCACAAGAGGATTTGAATTTATTTTTCCATATTTTAGACATTCTAACTTGCATTATTCTTAGATGGCCGGAGATCAAATGTAAGTGATTTAGAGAGAATTATTTGTATTTTATTTATTTATTTTTTGTATATCTTTTCATTGGTACATTTTAGGTGTACAATATAATGACATTCATCATTGGAGATATGCTCCTTTACATACTCTCTTGGTTCTTATTTTTTTCCCCCTTCCCCTGCCCTCCCTTTAACCCCTCCGTCCCTCCTTATTTACAAAGATTTTGTTTCAATTTTTTCATTTTCTCATATTAATTCCATTCCCTTCTTTCCTTTCCCCTAGCCCTCCCACTTTCCCCTCCCCTTTTCCCCTTTTCTTCCTATTTCACATTATCTATTATACCTTTTAGTCCTTATTTACACTTTCAGTTTCTCACACTAGAGAAACTA